CTTTTTGGTCAGATAACATGCTAATATTTTAATTTTATATACCTATATATGTATGTATGCTTTTGTGGGGCGTGGTGCTATGAATTGTATCCACTGATTTGTGTGTGCAAGGCGACACTCTGCTGCTTGAATTATCTCAGCCCTTGTTTTTGAGACGGGTTCTCGCTTGTATAATAGGCTGACTTCAGCATCCTCTGTAGGCAAACCTTGACATTGTAATCCTGTTACAGCTTTCTGAGCAGCTGACCTTACAGACTTGTGCTACCAAACCCTACTTAAGTCAATTTTAAAATGTTTATGTTGCCATAAAGACAAATAACAAGAGATAAATACAAAAATGTTATAAGGATATAGCTAGACTTTTGTTACTTAGCATTCCATAAAAGACTAGAACTTGGCAGGTTTAGTAAATAGATAGTATTACCAAGTAGAACCTTCTTTCTTGACTTAATCAGGAAAAGTTTCTTACTACGTGTGTGGTATCTTGTTTGTGAAGTTGAGTGGCACCCCATATCTTTGTGTACTTTGTATTTTGAAGAAAAATTATGTTCTAAGTATTCATAAATTAAAGTTATTTATATTGTGTATGTTCTTGCCCATATGTAGAAATGACGAACCAGAAATAACAAACTTGTGAAATACAGATATCTTGGACATCTCTAGAGAGGTCATTCTGGATGTGCAGAATGAAATTACTTTATTTAGCTTGGTGTCTCACTTTTCTTTTAGTGTTTTGGTCCATGAGAGTCACCAGATCTGCAAGATTTCACCAACCAGCTTGATAATGGGAATGTGAAAAGAGAACACAGGAGTAGGAGTGCTTGATTCTATACTATGGATGGGAATAGAGCAGAGCATAGTAGCTGGGAAGGAACTGATTTATTTCAGAATCTAGAAGCTGAAATAGTATTAAGAGAAATTCTTGTTACAGTTTAATTAGCCTCATAGTGGTAGAGGGAATACTTCCTACAGTGGTTTTCTAATTGATTGCTGATTGACAGGCTTTAGGATGTAATTACTAGTAGATACAGAATTTTTTTTTTTTTTTTTTTTTTTTTTGAGACAGGGTCTCCCTGTAGCCCCAGCTGTCCTAGAACTCACTGTGTAGACCAGGCTAGGCTTGAACTCACAGAGATAAGCCTGCCTCTGCCTCCTGAGTGCTGGGATTAAAGATGTGCGCCACCACACCTGGTCCTGCTATAGAATTTTAGTACTACTCTTCATATCCCCTAATTGCTGAGTTGCTTTAGTCATTCTTAGGCATTAGAGGTTTATTTGCTTTTTTCTTTCTTTGTTTGATACCAGGCTTCTGCCTCCCTGGGATTAAAGACATGAGCCACAGGTGTCTTAAAACGTACAAAGGATCAGGGCCGCAGTTAAGAGCCCTGATCGCTCTTGCAGAGGACCTGGGTTCCATCCCCAGCACCAACATGGCGGCTATGAACAGTCCTTAACTCCAGTTCCAGTGGGATCCGAAGCCCTCTTCTGACCTCCGCAGGCATTGCACGCATGGGTGTGCTCACATATGTGCAGGCAATATACTCATACACATAAAATAAAAATAATAAATAAAATATTTAAGAAAAAAAACATACAAAGAACCAACACTATATCACTATATGAATGAACAAATGGTATCTTGTGTATTTCTGTCATATTTTTAAAAGTGATTAAAGCACGACCAAGTCCTTTTGTTTTCTTGATGTGCTTGTACTTCCTCAGAGGGGAGTTTGTTTACTGTGACACAGTGTTTCTGCTGTGTTTTTATAGTTCAAAGATGCCTATCTCCTTTGTGGTGCTGGTTTTCATTTTGGTTTTTGTCATTAGGTTGTCACTTGTGCATTTTGATACTGTCATTTCTGCTTCTGTTGGTTTTTGATTTGGAGATGCTTTGTTTGGCATTTATAAAATTGGAGTTTTTTAAGTTAGTAAGTCAGCCAATCACTTTAATTTTGGTTCTTTCAGCTATTTTGTCTTCAGTCAGGGGTAGCTTTTAAGCTGGGTGCACACCTGTATTTCCAGCAGTTGGAAAGCTGAGGTGGGAGAAAGTTGCAGCTCAGCTTGAGTTACATAGTGAGAGACCCTGTCTCAAAAGCAAAACAGGAAAATAAAATAGCTTTCATTGCTTTTTAGTTTTGTATGCAGAGAATTCTGGGTGATAGAAGGTACCAGATAACTAGAGTATAAGTGTTCTTAGATCAGCATTGAATTGCAGCTCTGTAAGTGTCAAAATAAAATCAGCAGGCTGCAACTTTTGATGTGTATGTTAAATTCTGTATAAACTAATAAAAAAATTTTTATCTTTTTGAGACAGGGTCTCCCTGTAGCCCCAACTGGTCTGGAACTTGCTATGTAGACTAGGCTGGCCTTGAACTCACAGAGATCCATCTGCCTCTTTAAAAAATGTTAGCTTGTGGGGCTGAAGAGATGGCTTGGGTTAAGAGCACTGACTGCTCTTGCAGAGGACCTGGGTTCGAGTCCCAGCACCAACATGGTGGTTAACAACCATCTATAATTCCAGTTCCAGGGGAATCTGACGCCTTCTTACCTCTGTGGGCATTGCAAGGCATGGGTGCACTTACGTGCAGGCAATACACTCACATAAAATAAAAATAATAAAATATTTTTTTAAAAAGTTAGCTCATAACTTACAATGTAGTGTGGGCTAGCCTTAAACATAAGTAGTCCTACTACCTCAGCCTCCCAAATTCTTGGGTTATAGGCATGAGCCACTATCCTTGGCTTTGTATTAACCTACTTTTGTCACTCAATTCTTAAGTAACAAGGCTTTTGTAATGTCTCTCAAATCTAAAAAGAGAAGTATGCTGATAGTTCCTAAAGCAGATCTCCACAAGATTATGACACTTGCCAAGACTTTTGCTTTATATGAGAAAAGGAAGGTTTGAGGCAATGAGGAAAAGAGAAAGCCTTGGAATGTAGCTGCTTTAGTATTTGTTCTTTCATTTCCATCATTACTTTTATCATCTTACAGATGCAGTAAGCCTTTTTTTCTTATTACCAAGGTGATTTCTTAGTTTCATTCTTTAATAATTTTGTTGCATGAATTTTCATGCACAAAGGAGCTAGATTTAAAAAGTTTTAAAGCATTGATATTTATATCATATCCAGCAACGGTGAACTCTTACTAGCTAGGTGTGGTGGTGCATGCCTGTAATTCTAGCACTTGGGGGACTGAGACAGAAAGATTGTGGGTTTGAGGCCAGCCTGGGCTATATTTAAGACCCTCTCCTCCCCCCAGAAAATACTTGTTTTGGAAGTTGGGTTTTTTGAGTTTTTTTTGTTTACTTTTTCCATACAATAAGCATTGTATTTGAAAAAAAAAATTTAAGCTTGTCATGGGGATTATGTTTGGAGTGATACTGGTTCCTTTTAGTAATAAAGAATAGAATTGTATTAACCAAAGGATTACGAAGAGTGACCTTTCCAAGCTGTATGTATAGTAGCTCCTTTATGTTTATACTTTCTGAAAGGAAGGAAAGCTGCTACTACTACTCAGTATGACTTTACACATTCAGAAAGAAGTGCCTTGACATCACCATCAGAAGATTTTACAACTAACTTTGCTTACATTTAAAAATACGCTTGAAGCCGGCCGTGGTGGCGCATGCCTGTAGTCCCAGCACTTGGGAGGCAGAGGCAGGCAGATATTTGTGAGTTCAAGGCCAGCCTGGTCTACATAGGTGAGTTCCAGGACAGCTGGGGCTACAGGGAGACCCTGCTTCAAAAAGACAAAATAAAAATAAAAATATGCTTGAAAAGTACAACATATATCGAGCCATATTAAATGTTTTCAAAGTATCTTTGGTTATATTGTTAAGACATGGCTTTGAGTACTTTTATAAAATGAGCACTATACTTTGAGCTGCTTAAATATTCAGTAGATAAACTGAGTATATTTATTAAGACAGCATGGAGTAAGGGAGTAAGAAGTATTTAATATAACTATAAAGCAGCATGGTGGTACACATCTGTAATCCCAACACTTGAGAGAGAGGTAGAGGCAGGAGGATCAGAAGTTAAAGGATCAGTTATTCTCAGCTGTACAGTGAGTTCAGGGCCAACCTCTGCTACATGAGACCTTGTCTCAAAAAAAAGAAAAAGCAGTTAGAAGCTATGTATACTGGCACACACCTGTAATTATAGCACTTAGACTGTAGCAGCAGGATCTTGAGTTCTAGCTTGAGGTACATAGCATGTTCAAGGCTAGCCTGGATTACAAAGTGAGACTTCGTCTCAAACAAGAATTAATTGCAAAAAGGTTCGTGTAAATGAATTTTAAAGGAATAACAAAGAGAGGTGAGGTAAGGTAAGTTAGTAGAGTTGGCAAGGAACTGTGAGGATGGTAGAAGTTACTAGATTGATTCCTTGGTATAGTAGTCACCTGCTTTTACTTTGACTCATGTGCAGACACAGGTTTACATACTTTTTTTTTCTTTTTACTTATGTACTTTTTAAAAATTATTTTTATTTTATGCATATGAATGTATTGCCTGCATGTATTTGAGTGCACCTGTGTTGTGCAATGCCGTGGAGGTCAGAAGAGGGCTTCGGATTCTCCTGGAACTGGAGTTAAAGACGGTTCGTAGCCGCCATACGGGTGCTGGGAATTGAACCCGGGTCTTCTGCAAGAGCAGTCGGTACTCTTAACCACTGAGCTCTCTCTCCAGCCCCACTTATGTATAAGGTATCTCTCTACCCTGGAGTACATTAGAAGTTGACCATAGGTCTTTATACACATCCTATGTTATTATGTGTACTTGGCAGCTTATATTGGAAGAAATGGTAGTAAGAGAAGAACTTATCTCTGTATTTAGAGATTCAGGGGGTCAGGCAAACAAGAAGCTACAAGTTTCCAATTCTGTACATCTCTTTCTAGCTTTCCTATCAATGAAGGGGTGTGGATCTTCCGAGGGAAGGGGCCTGCTGTGTACCAAGCCAAATATGTGATCTAAGGTCTCAGACAAGTCTACCTATGGGGAGGGCTCTGGTGGTTAAGCTAGAAAATGTGGGAGGGCTTCCCTTTCTCTGCCTCTATTTTATAGACATGGGGATGCTTCCATTGCTTTGTGTGCTGATGCATTTCCTCCTCCCTCTTTGTTTTCCCTAAGCTGAGCCGTGAGCTAAATCTGTACAAAGAAATAATGACTGCTTATAAATTGCTTGCCATTAATGCCTGATAATATACAGTAAGATAGGATTCTGCATACCATTAAATATGTCAAATATTACAAACTTTAAGGTTCTTTTGAAATTACAATACTAAACTCAGTTCACTTTTGCTAACTTCACAGTTGTTGATCACATAGCATGGTCATCCACTCACAGCTTAAAAAAATACAGGGAGCATCGGAGAGAATGGGTAAAGTAAAATTTTGATGTTTTTAAAATAGCACCTAAATCTATGAAAGTTGATTTGGTTTATTGTTTGTACGGGAGGGAGAGGGTGGGAGGTACTGAGGGGGAGGGGTGGGTATTGGGGAAATAGCATGCACTATGTAAAATGTCAGATACCAGTAGACTAAGGTATTATGTGTTACTACTAGGATTTAAATATGCCAGTTTCAGAAAAGATAGTAGGACCATAATTCCATGTTGGAAATAGTAGGGTTCTTTTTCTCTCCCAACAGATTGAAGGGAATTTTGAGAATTAACAGTATTTGAGTATGTTTTGAATAGGAAGCCTGGTTTTGGAGTAGACCTGTCCATATCTCTGGGTGAAACTGATGCCTCAGTACCACCTCAAGTTCAATTACTGGAGAGGACTATTAGGCATTTCAGTTATTATATACTGGTGACCAAAGTGTTCTCAAATAAATGTTACAGTTTATGGCACCCATGAAAGGGTTGTAACTGCTTGGTGGGCAGTATTAATAGAACTTTGGCTGCTTTGCTTCAAATGAAAAATCTGTTGCCTGCTGAAGTTCTAAATCAAATTCTTCACTGGACCTGGTGGTGGGGGCCTGTAGTCTCAACACTTGGGAGACGGCAGCAGGAACATCAGAGTCATGGTCATCTTCATTTATATAGCAAGTAGAGGACAATTTGAGCTACATGAGATCCTGCTTTAAAAATAAAAATGTCCTAGCCGGGCATGGTGGCGCACGCTTTTAATCCCAGCACCCAGGAGGCAGAGGCAGGCAGATCTCTGCGAGTTCAAGGACAGCTGGGGCTATAGGGAGACCCTGTCTCAAAAAGACTAAAAAGAAATAAATAAAAAATAAAAATGTTCTACTTCCTTATTCTAAACTTGGCATTGGAGTTATGTACAAAACCTAGTTATTGTGGAGGTTATAGGGCAGAGAGACCTCTATGTTTTTATAGGTAAGGCAATTTGTTTTTGTTACTCACTCAATCTGGCCTAATCTCTGCTTCATTATTTAAAAGATTGCTGAAGAGTTTGTTTATACACTAGAAATGTGAATTGAAAAGAGTTTGACACCAAAAAATACCTGAAAAATGGTATCCTGGCCTCAGTTTGGTTTTCCCATTTATATGTAGCCATGTGCCAAAGCAGAATATGATTTACTTAACTATTACCAAGCCATCATGCTTTTGTAACCTTGTTAAAGATATTACTCCCGGGCTGGAGAGATGGCTCAGTGGTTCAGAGTGCTGGCTGCTCTTGCAGAGGACCTTTGTTTGATTCCTAGCTCCACATGGTGGCTAACAGCCATCCATAACTCCAGTTCCAGGGAGTCCAATGCCTCTTCTAACCTCCTTGGGCATTGTACAGCATGGGTGCACTTATATACATACAGGCACTACACTCATACACATAAAATAAAAATAATATTAAAAAAAAGATTACTCCAGTGTGGAATGCTCTTCTTTCCTTTCTATAAGACCTGCCTGTATTTCACATTTTGGCTTCTTCTTACTGCAGGAAGCCTTTTCCAGTCTCTGCTGTCCTTTGGTGGTTGTGCTAGTCTGTTCAAAACATCCCTTTGGCACTTGGATCTTGCTATCTTGTGTTACTGTTATTTATATGGCCTATTTCTCTAGCAAACTTGTGGGCTTCAGAGCAGAGCACTTGTCAAGCTCTGTGTGGCTATTGTCTATCACAGAGGATAGAATCACTAACAGGTTGGATTCTATGATTAGGATCTAGTGTCAATGTGACAGTACAAGTCCCCCCCATAATTTATTATTTTTCTAATTACTATTAGAGTAATTGACTCAATCTGTTATTTTTAAATGGTTCAGTGACCAGAAAACTCAAAAAGTCATGGAATTGATAAAATCTTGTATTGTGAGCAGATTTTGTTCATATTTATTCTCCATTTGTAGTTTCCTTTTCTTTTTTTTAGTTGGGTGCTAGTTTACTTAGTTTATTTTGAAAAACATGGTTTGGGCCAGATACTGTGACAGAAACCAAAATTACCAGCATTTTTGTTTTAAAATTGTCAAATTATTTATGTGGTATAAGCCCAGATTTGTTCAATCGCTGCATAATTATGTGGCAAAATTGTTTTAAAATATTAACCATAAAGTCCCCTAAATAGAACTTTAAAAATATCAATAAGCAGATCCTCACTTGCAAGTACTTTCAGTATTTTTTATCTTGAATTATTAGTTTTATCATTTTATTACTTTAAAGATTTCTATAATGGCCAATATTTGTTAACTGATTTTTTGTTTTGTTTTGTTTTGTTTTGTTTTGTTTGCAGTGAGGCATTTAACTTTGGCATTTATTTTTCTCTTCTTTTTTTGAAGCTCACCAAGAGCTAGCGTTACTATATATTCCTATTTATAATTGTTCACTTTTAAACTGATAGTGCCCTTAAGGGCACATATACCTTGCTATTTCATTGACTGGTTTCTTAGGCAGTATGGGCACCCTGTTAGATGAAATGTTTAATAAAGCTTCCATAATTTTTCATTCTCTTCTAAGGCCTGGCTCATACCTGTGAGCCGTAAGTTTTACAGTGGACTGTACTGACTCACTGTTGCATTACCACCAAGGTAGATAGCTGTTGCAGGGTGATTGCTAGATTTGTAAGGCTCCACTCATTAAAAAATCCATCACTTTTAAAGTTCTTAACAGTTTAAAAACAAAGTTTTATGTTTTAAGGATCAGAAAGCCTCTACTGTAGTTTTAACATCTGATGTGAATTTGCAGTAGTTTGATTCTTACATGAGCTTGAGGCACTCACCAGCCTTAATTGAAACATACTTTTTAAGGAAACATTTCTTTTTTAAAACTCCCATTTGGCCCAAGAGCCACTTGTAGAGCTCCAGTCTTGGACTTTAGTTATCTTCAGTCATATTCTTCTCTGGGGTTATAGTTAAGTCATATTGCTTAAAAGAACAACAAACAACAAAAAACACTCTGATTTTGTTCACTTTTGTTTTCATATAAAAGAATCTTTACAGTCAACATGTACTTCTAGGTGCTGTATTGAAATTGCTGGCAGAGTCTATTCTATACAGACTGAACAATCTGGCCCCTTGTTTTATTTGTAAAGGTTCAATGTATCTATGCCTGCCTACTTCAATCTGCAAGGGAGTTTCAGAAAGGCCCCGCATTCGCCGAGCCGTGAGTTATCACTAACTTTTCAGATGTGTTAATGAATGTGGAACAAAAGCAGTTGTGTTTAGAAGGAAAAAAGGACCATCAAAGAAACCTATATTATAGTAGCAGGCTTGAACATTAAATGGATTATTCCAAATTGTGTCAAAAATAACCTATTAGAGACTAGCCTCAGAAAACCTATTGTTGAACTGCTCTGAAGCTATAGTTTTAGTTTTATTACTGTTCTTTAAAATTTATGTACCCTGGTTGCAAATCATAATTTTCTTTAACTCTTCCTAACCAAGTTAAAACAATTTGAACAAAATCTTACCCCACAGTATTTAAATTAAGTTCTTTGATATAAGACCATTTAAAAGGGGGTAAAGTTTAACCTTTTTTCATTATTCACATGTGAAAATAAAAATTGATTTAAGAATCACTACCTAACCTAGTTGAAACTTTTCAGTGTGGTCTAGGCATCCTGTGAACTACAGAGGTATTTGCACTCTCTTTGGTTTGCTTCAACAGTTTTGCTTCAGTAATTCACCAGTAGGTTTTCATTTATCAATGATATCAATGTGAGGCTAAAACACATTTTTAAGGGCTTATTCTTTGTAGAGGAAACATCCATATAAATTTTTTCTTCCATTTCTTCAAAGAGATTGTAAACAAAAAAAAAATTGTAACTAACATCTGTATTTTGTTACTCTGCCTAGTTACCCTTCCTTTCCTTAGTTCCTTTAAACTTTTGAGTAAATAGCCATATTTGATAAGCAGGTTGGATGCTTCTTGCTCAGGAGGTGTGTGTTATTTTATATGAGCACAGAATGAATTTTAATGTACCTGGTTTGGCAATATAGCACAGACCACATAAAACTTGGAGGCATGGAACCTTTGGAGGCATTAAAGTTAACATTTCTTTTAGGGGATGTGCCTTTGTTTGACTGGTGTATAAGTCCTTCTTCCAGGTTTGTACGCTCTTAAACGCGTTATTCTACCCTCTAACTCCTCCCAGCAGCAAAAGGGAGACACTTCAGCTGGAACAAAATAGTGGAAGAAATGGCGTCTGGGGTTCAGTGGGGATTCGCAGTGTGTATGCAATGTTTGCAAGATTACTTTTTATGTTTTTCAATTAATGTAGATTACAAAATAAATCAGTGCTTATTGTCAAAAAGGGACCTTGTATACCAGTAGAAACTCTTGGTGGGTCTGTTGCAAGTCGCTTAACCTCTTGGGGCCTCAGTTTTCTCATCTGCAATATGAAGGAGTTGGACTTGATAATCTATAAAGGTCCATTCCTGCTCTAAAATCCTATGCTTTTCTAAAGTACTTTTATTTAACAGAATGCATTGCTTTCCAACTTTGACCATTTGAATTACATTTGCAGTACATATGCTGCAACTGCATGTTGTCTAAAATAGTTTTCTATAGGATGTTACATAAAAAAACTAATCTCTTGGGCTGATTTATAAGTGTGTGTGTTTCTATATAACCACACATAAAAAGCTAGTGATAACTAGGGCTTTCAAAAAATAAGCACTTTCCAGTTGTCTAACCTTGAGTATTATTAACTTTTCTATATTACAGGAGACACTACTCGTCAACGAATCAAATTCAGTGACGACAGAGTATGCAAGAGTCATCTTCTCAACTGTTGCCCCCATGATGTCCTTTCTGGAACTGTACGTGATTATTCAGTTTATTGTTTGATAACTAGTGTGCTACAAAAATGAAGTTCTTGGTAAAGTCTTAATTTTTTTCTCAAATTATTAGGCAGTGGTTCTTTTTAACAGAAAATATTTACATCCCTTATATTGTTTGGTTATTCTGATTGATGATTTAAATGTATAATAATAGGTTCCCTCACAGAAGTAGTTGCCTTGTTTTCTTAATTTTTTCCATTCTTCAGAGTAGGTTAGGTCTTAGTTTTTGTTGGTTGGTTAGTTGGTAGGTTTTCTGGTTGTTTCCTTTTATTCTGGTGCTGGAGGTTGAACACGGGGCCTTGCATATGCTAATCAAATACTTTACCATTTTTGTTGTTGTTGGTTGGATGGTTTGATGGTTTTTGAGGCAGGATCTGATGTTTCAAACAAGTTTCAAGATGATATATCAAACTGGTGGCCTTAAACTCAGATCCTTCTCACCTCCCATCTCCACAGTGCTGGGATCATTGATGTGAACTCAGAACATGTTTTCTTTTTACCATTCCCTCTTCTCCACTTCTTTCCCCTTATTTTTATTTATTTATTTATTTATTTATTTATTTATTTATTTTTGCTCTTTTGGAGACAGGGTCTCCCTATAGCCCCAGCTGGCCTGGAACTTACTGTGTAGACCAGGCTGGCCTTGAACTCACAGAGATCCACCTGCCTCTGCCTCCCAAGTGCTGGGATTAAAGGCATGCACCACCACTCCTGGCTCCCCTTATTTTTAAATGGCACAGAGGATTTGATTTTTAACTTTTGGATTCGGTTGAAATGATAATAATGAGTAGCTTCTCATCGCAGATACACTTCTTGAGGGGGAACTATTAGGGGCCAAACCTTGAGCTGGTTTTATTTCTCATTTGCCAGAAATGTCTGAAACGAGGAAAAGATTTCCAGATTGCCATTTGGAAGCAGGGAATGGAAGATGTCTAAATTGGTGGTTTTTTTTGTTTGTTTGTTTGTTTTGGTTAAAAAAAAGGACATACTCCAACATAAAAGTATCAAGACACATGCAATAGGAAACATCTTTTGTCATTTTCTAGTTGGGAACAATTGAAACTATAAACACCTAAGTCTGCTGTAGTGACCTGCATGTATAATCCCAGCCCTTGGGAGGCAGAAGCTAGAGGATACAGAGTTCGAGGCCAGTGTAGGCTATATATTGAGATTTTTGTCTCAAATAAAAGAGCCTAAAAAAAATTAAAGTATAATACAACAAACTGAGAAATCTACTTTCTGAGAAGTTCAGCACTTGAATTAGGACTCTTGAGAAATATTAACAGGCAATAAACTAATTCTTTGGTATCATTTCCCTAAATATTTCCTTTTTAAATTTTTTTCAATTTTATTTATTATTTTTATTTTATGTGTACGTGTGTATTGCCTGCATGTAGGTAAGTGCACTCGTGTCATGCAGTGCTCTAGAGGTCAGAAGAGGCTATCAGATCCCCTGGGACTGGAGTTATGGATAGTTGTTAGCTGCCATGTGGGTGCTGGGCTATGAACCTGGGTCCTCTGCAGGAACAACCATCTCTCTGGCCCTCTATATTTTCTTTTTAAATTTTATGTTTATAATCCTGATTCTAGGGATTATGCATGTGCCACTGTGCATGGCTTTACGGTATTTTCTACTCTATTAAGGCATTTGCAATGTATAATAAATCTGTAAGTATCTGTATAGTACTCTGGAATTTTCCATATTTAATGTTACATAGAATTAGACAAAGTGATTTTCTTTTTTTAAAAATTTTTTTTTTTTTTTTTTTTTGTGTATGAGTGTATTGCCTGCCTGTGAGTTCACCCATGTCGTGCAATGCTGCAGAGGTTAGAAGAGGGCATCGGATTCCCCTGGAACTGGAGTTAAGGACAGTTCACAGCCGCCGTGTGGGTGCTGGGAAATGAACCCGTGTCCTCTGCAAGAGTAGTCAGTGCTTTTAACCACTGAGCCATCTCTCCAGCCCCGTGATTTTCTTTTTATAATTTAATTTTATACGTGTGTGCACATCCACATGTTGGAGGCAGAAGACAGTATGGTGCTGGGACTTGAAATCGGATCCAGCTGGCAGAGTAGTACATGTGCTTAACCACTGAGCCATCTCTTCAGCTCCAAAATAAATTTCTTAAGAGCAGGGGGATTGTTTGGTTCAGTGCCATATCTCCAGCATTTAGAACATGATCACCTTCATTGTATTCAGTGAAGGATTGTCAGCAAAAAAGTAGAACATTTAAGTCTCTTTAAAACATTTCTCAACAAGACACCCAGTGTTGTCCTCTGCCTTCCACATGTGCATGCACACACGTGCATAAGATAATTAAAAAATAAGATTTTAAAGTAAAATCACTGTCTAATTCTGTACAACATTAAATGTAGAAAATCCCAGAGTATTCTACAGATGATTATAGAAACAAAATAACAAAAAAAACCCTTGAAATTTCAAAAAGCACTGCTTATTAATGGCAAAAGTTTAACTTTTCACAGTCAAGTTAGAAAATATCCTAATCAAAACATGAATATAAGCTGGGTGTGGTGGCACACGCCTTTAATCCCAGCACTAGGGAGACAGAGGAAGATAAATCCTCTGTCACCCTGATCTACATAGCAAGTTCCAGTCCAGCCCGGGCTACATTTGACAACTTTAGGGAGTTAGTTCTCTCCCTCCACCATGTGGGTCCTGAGGATCCAACTCAGGTTGTCAGGCTTGACAGCAGGTGCCTTTACCCGCCGAGTCATTTTGTCCAGCCCCCAGATACTCATTTTTTAAAAATACTTACTAAAAATTACTACTTTTTTGCACCAGGTATGGTGGCGCATACCTTTAATCCCAGCGCTCAGGAGGCAGAGGCAGGCAGATCTCTGTGAGTTCAAGGCCAGCCTGGTCTACATAGTGAGTTCCAGGACAGCTGGGGCTACAGGGAGATTGACTCAAAAAAAAAAAAAAAAAAAAAAACCAAAATTTTTTTTTATTTTTTGTTTGTTTGTCTTTGAGATAGGGTCACCCTGTAGCCCCAGCTGGACTGGAACTCCTAAAATTATTTTTAACTATGTGCATACATATATGTGTATCTGTGTGTGGGTATGTGCACATGAGTGAAGAAATTTATAGAATCCAGAAGAGGATGTCAGATCCCCTGGAGCTGAAGTTGAAGATGATTGTAAGATACCTCACATGGATGCTGGGAACTGAACTAAGTTCCTCTACAAGAGCAGTATGCTCTCTTAACCATTGAGCCATCTCTCTAGCCTCCAAAATACCCATTTTTTAATGGTGTCTGAGCAAGAAATTAATTTAGAGTTAGGCGTGGTAGTACATGCCTTTAATCCCAGCACTCAGGACAGAGGCAGGTGGATCTGGTCTACATATCAGTCACTTAGTCTGTATAGCAGATTTTAAGTCAACTGGGGCTACAGAGAGACCCTGTCTCAAAAAGAACAAAACAAAAAATTCATTTGGAAACTAGGAAATTAAAGGCACGATAAAAGCTTCCCAGTGGATAACTCATACTTTACTATTAAACTTATAAAATCCAGTCTCAGCCGGGCGTCGTTGCGCACTTAATCCCAGCACTTGGGAGGCAGAGGCAGGCGGATCTTTGTGAGTTCAAGGCCAGCCTGGTCTACACAGTGAGTTCCAGGACAGCTGGGACTACAGGGAGACCCTGTCTCAAAAACACCAAAAAAAAAAAAAAATCCAATCTCAAATAAGTTAGGAGGTTTGGAAACAGATAAGCACATACTCTTCAGCTTGGGGACTTAGGTTCTTTGGAATAAACCATTTCTGTCATTCCAAATAATCTTCAAGTCATTAATCTTATATGCCCAATATATAAGTAATGCCTATAAAAGTAGTCTTTTTCAAGGTGAGCCAGAGACATGTGATTTAAAATCTTCTTCTGGTCTTTTTATCTCCAGTTGAGGTAGTTCTATTTAGATTAATAAAGTAAAACTATAGGTAATATAAACACATTAAGTATGATAGACTGTATGTTTTGATGTTCAGTCTTTGAAATTAAATGCAAATTAATTTTATTTTTTATTCTTCTGTAAAATTGAATCAGTCTCGGAAGTCTGCTGACATCACATGGAACAAAGTCTGCATTGTTTTGTGCACTGCCATATAACTCTAGCCAGCTTCAGTGACCCTCACTTCAAGTCTTGTTTATGATCCTTTGTATGTGCTTCATTTCTTTTAAGCAAGTCTTAAATCTGGAACTATCATTTTAGGTTGCCTGTTGATGGAATACAGATTAAAAAAAGCACAGGCCAGTTATTCCCAACAAAGGAAGGAAGAGTTCTGCAGTCTTATTGAAGTAGATGGTTTCCATAGTCTAGTTCTGGATCATTGTATTTTACCATCATTTCTGTTTTTCTGCATCATAATTTCCAATTTTTTTTTCAACGTATTTTTGTTTTTTAATTTTTGAGACAGGGTCTCCGTATAGTCTCAACTGGCCTAGAACTCACTATGTAGACTTAGTCTCACAGAGATCTACCTGCTTCTGCCTCTGAGTGCTGGGATTTAAGGCATGTACCACCACCATGGGAGGCAGGGTCTCTTTCATGTGTGTACTCCATGCTGACCTCAAGTGGAAGATGACCTTGAACTTCTGATCCTTCTGTCTCCACCTCCTGAATGCCAAAGTACAGGCATGCCACCAGGCCTTATTTTGTTCTGTGCTGGGGATAGCTGGGTGTCATGACATGCAGCATGCTGTAGCAATTGGATATCTATACCAAGTTTAGCATCTTATGGGATTAGGAGTGATGCACCAAACATACTACCAGGTTGTTCGAGGGAGGGATGAACTGGCCCAGGTTGGAAAGGAGCAAGCAGGTCAAAACTCCCTTGAATTACCCACTTACTTTCTCCCCTGAATCTTGTAGATCATTTTAAGAGATTAGTCTAGTTTTATAAATTGCACTTTTACAAGTCTGAGAAAGCTAGTGTGTCCTTTGGGGCTGTTCATTGATGAGGAGG